TTCATTACTTTTCCTTATAACGGCTTTCTTAAATGCAATTAGCTATATTAAAACGGAACACTCTTACCTAAATCAATTTGGTTATCGTAAAGACTAACTGTACTTCTTGTATAACAATAAAATTAAACTCATCCCCTATTTTTACGTGGCCCAAATGAACCCCGCATTTTGTATCATGTCAAACAGGGGTGTACCTACAATAATTAGAAAACTGAAAACAATATATTATTGTTATTCTAAAAATACACAAAACACAAACGACTGTTGTGACACGGAGATTTTAAAGTTAGGTTTACATTAAAATCGAGCGGCATTTATCACAGCCGCATTAAAACTAAACCGTTTAAATCACAAGCGAACCTTTCTTTTGTCTATGGCACGGGCTCTTGGAACAATATAAAACTGGATTAAATAAAACCTTTTGATCTTAACGTTTCCTTGTCCATTAACTAAACGGTTTTATTTAATTTCTTGCCATTTTACTTTCTCGAGATGGTGGAAGCCATGATAGATAGAAATATTTAAGCTTAAATAAAAACGACAAGTTAACCACTTAAACGTATAATTTCGATTTTTTTTAATTCAGAAAAATCTAAAATAATAGATAAAATTATTTTTCTTTCTAATTTATGTTTTTCAATTTTGTTTTTTTTTTGATGATAAAACTTCAGAAATGTTAAGGCCCCTAAGACTTTTTCGTTAACATTTATCGATAAAGTCGGGTGCGCAGTATAAGGGTGTTTCCGAACTTGGCGTCCAAATTTATAGGGGTGGTAGTTCGCATAATTTGAGAGCGATTGGCAGATTTCATTTTTCTAAAAAATTATAATAAACAAAATAGAGCCATTATAAAAAAATCAAAAAGCGGGTCCTGTCCTGAGCGCGTAGTGCAATAGTCGCCTGATCGGTTACTCATCGGGATTTACAACTCAAAAACAGATGCGATTTGCAAATTTCTCCCTCGGCCCGGCCGGTATCGAAAGACGTAGCCGATTATTTTCTAATGCAGAGAACTCGATCGTAGGGAGCGCGAGTCGAGTCGTTCCCATTGCTGTGCCGGAGCATACCTGTTTAAATTTTTTAATAAATTTTTGATTATTTTTATTTTAAATATTTTGGAAAAATGAAATCTGCGAATCGGTCTCAAATTATACGAACTACCACCCCTACAAATTTGGACGCCAAGTTCGGAAACACCCTGTATATTTATACCCTGACATTCCGAATTAACTACCTTACTTTTTAACATTTTATAGTTCATGGTTAGAGCGTCACCATATTATCATCTTCAAATATAAATTGCTTTTATTTGCTAAAAGAATTATGTACATAGTTTTAAAAAACGATTTTCATATGTTAACAATAAGATAAATTATCTTTAAAAGTATACATGTAACTAACATTATTAAGTCCACTTCAAAACCGCGTGTGTTTAAAATGTATTTAAAGTCGTTTTAAAAGGGTCTTCACAGCAGCTTTAAAATCAGTTGTTCAAGGTAATATAGTTTTATGGTGGTTTTTATTTTTGATTTTATTGACCTCTTTCAGAGTGGGCCCTTTTATGCTGAAGGCGTATTTATTACAACCTTAAGGTTTCTTTTAAAACTAATTGGTTTTAATTGCAGTTTTATTTTACAGTTTTAAAGCATCCTTGAAGTACTGAATAAAACCGTTCCGTGCTACTTGGGAAACAAAGACCGCTGAGCAGCGTGGACGGTGCTTGCGGAAGGAACAAATTTAGATCGGGCAAGCACCTTGTCTGGCGCCCCTATAATTTAGGGTGACCATATCTTTTCGGATTCAACGTGACAGGTGACGACTTTTTTTTATTACAAAGTATAGAACCATGATTTATTTCGACCTGGAGTTTTCGATGAATATTTACGTTTTGGGGTCCCCTGAATCCGTTTTGACTATTTTTGCGATGATGTCTGTATGTCTGTGTATACTCGACAAGTCATGAACGGATACAAAGAAAAATACTCAATTTTAAACTTCAGCTTTATTCCTGTCTGAATTGAGCTGATTAAATTTTGGGGATAATTGGAACATACTTTATAGGGGGTCGTTTTTCTATTTTATGGAATATATCTGTTATTTACGCTTGGATAAGAAAATTATTTAAATAAAAGTTGCCTGAGAAAATTAACAAGAAATAAAAAATTCCAATTTTTAATAAAATTGTTTAAATAAAAGTTGTTTGCGATTTCATTCTCTATAATTCTTGTTCTCTATACATAAATTCTCTAAAATCGACTGTATTCGAGATATTTACGAAAAAGTACAAATTTTGAATTTTGAATAAATTAAGAGAAAAAAATAACCTATGTTATTTTGCAATTTACATAAATTGTGTTAAACAATATGTTATTACAGGATGACCCAATAAATTTGGAATATATGAAAAACCTTTATTGCTCACAAAATTTTAATCCTTATAAAAGTTGATCCATTACCTAAACAGAAATAATCAAATTTTCATAATTGCAAAACTTTGGTATTAAAAGAAATATACAAAAAACTATACTATGGGGTTTTGTTGAAGAGTTAATGAGCCTTTATTTTGCAAATTTCGAATAAAGTTTTTTTAGAACGATTATAAAATTTTAATAATGTTTCAAAATGCAGTCGATTTTTTCATTTCCCCGTTTCGCAATTAAAAAAAAATTAAAAATATGCAAGAAGTTCTCTGAAAAAATATTTTTCGATAATTTTTTTTTAGACAGACTGAGTAAGTTTTAAAGCTCAATTAAGTAATATAATTTAACTAAGTGCACTACTAAGAACAACAAAATAAGTAGAGTACGAGCTGGAAAAATTCGCAGCCAATTTATACCATTGAGAAATAAAATAACTAATAAATAAGAAGAGAAAACAAGAAAAAAAATGGCAAATTACCAGATTTCCCGAAGATAAAGTAGTTCTCAAAAGACTAACACAACAACTACAAAGAGAAATACTTACTATTAAAAATGAATCAATCAAACGGTTGAAAGCGACCAGGAAATTTAAACGTTCAATAGTCCATATGCCACCAATAAAAGAAGACAACGGAAACTAGACATGATCAAATAATCAAAAAGCTGACATCTTTGCAGATCATCTTGAAAAAAATATTCAACCAAATGAAGGACGAGGACTCGAGTTATTAAAAGAAGAGAAAAGAAACATAGCAGAAATTCATGGGGTATCGATAAGGAAATCAAAGAAAATATTAATTCTAAGAAAGCACCCGGGTATGATCACAGGTGAAATACTAAAACAATTGCCAAGAAAAGCCGTGGTTAAACTCACTAATATAATAAACACTGCATTTCGACTCGAGCATGTACCTAGTATCTGGAAAGTCGCAGAAATTATAATGATACCCAAACTTGGAAAACCACCGAATGAAGTAAAGTCCTATGTATCTATATCCCTGTTACCGGTGCGGTGGTAGCTAAACTTTTCGTAAAATTTTTACTAAAAAGATTGAAACCCATGATAGACAGTAACATTATAATACCTGACCACAACAAGTATTCCACAAGTCCACAGAATAACGATTCAAATGAAAAAATACTGGAAGAAAAGAAGATCTGTACCTCACTCTTTCTAGACGTAGCTCAGGCTTTCGTTAAAGTATGGTTAGAGGGCATTAAATATAAAATACATAAACTTTTACCTAAGCAATATTGTGCATCTTAAAATCTTGCTTGACTGGTAGAATAATCCGAGAAAAACAATAAGAAGAATATTCCACGCTTACAGAAACTAAAGTAGGAATACCTCAAGGAAGTGTTCTGGGGCCTGGTCTTTAGCTGTTGTTTACCTCCAACATACCATAAACGCAAAATGTGAAAGTATCCACATTTACCATAGAATTAAAAGTGGACAAAAAGATGGCGCATTAAGCTCAACGATACTAAACCACCTAGGTATAAAATTAAAGTGAAAAGAAAATTATACTGGTTGCTGAATAGAAAATCAAAACTTTCAATAGAAAATAAACTTTTAATATATAAACAAGTAGTGAAACCACTATGGACTTACGGCATACAGCTCTGGGGGTGTGCCTACAACCAAAAAAGAAAGGAAACCCATCGAAAAAAAAAATAATTATATATTTTTTGTAATCCCCTGTATATATTATGAAAATTTAATTATTGCATTTAATAATTTAGATAGAAATACTATAAAACAGTATATGTTCCATATAATTGTCTTCTTATCTGCAAAAAAATTATTTCACATTGCATAACGGTTCCATTTTGTTAATATTTTTAACCTTTATACTTAGGTCTCCATCTCTTTTAAATTGATATATTAAATTTTCAAATTTATAAAACGATAATGGCACTTGTAACAAGCAAAATTCCAACTCTTAATTTTTGAACTGTCAGATAATCATCTTTCTCAGGAAGAAAATTATTAACATGCTTTCTTAAACTTTTTCTACAAATCTTTTATTACCGCTTTTGCTTGAGTGGTTCAATTTGTAATTGTCAATATGTCAATCTGTCAACAATTAGGCATTCCAAACAAATGAATTACCAGTGGGAAGGTTTGATATATCTAAGGGCTGCGACATACGATATATTCTATCTACTATACGCAAAATCATGAATAATGGATTACATTTAAATATTTTATGTCAAACAGAATAAAAATAATATGTATTTGAAAAACCCGCTTATAAATTTCTTCATAAATTGGCAGGCTTGACGACTACTATTTCGAATAAAAATAAGAGTCCAAGATGCAAGACTATGTCGCTACCCCCTTAGATATACGAGAACTTCCCACTTGACAGGTCGTTGGAATGCCTAATTTAAATGTGACAGACTGCTATATATAAATAAAAAATTTAGATTGTCGTTTATCACCAAACCGTGATATAAATACTATTTAAAGAAAAATTAGTATAGATATACAACTACGATTTAGTCACTTAATATCCACATCACCGTATCACTACTCCAAACCACAGTTAACTAGTAAAAGTTAATTAAAATATTTACCAGAACCCCAGCAAATACTGAGCCGCTCTCATCCGATCGCACTTTCAATTAACCAACTAACAAATTAACTTTTAACCATTTAAAACGATATTATTATAAATAATTTATATACATTTTCGCATACACCACACACAACACAACTTCATCACCGATCACCGCACAAATCCCATTCCAATTTTTTAAAACCTCTTTTAGAAATAAATACATAAACACGATAACGATTCTTCAAACATTGAATATAATACAGGCAAATAACATCAAAAATAGTCGGAGAGAGGACAATGTTTATATAATTATTATTTACGCTTTTATAACAATTATAATAATAATAATATAATGCATTTATTTTTAACAGGTTGTCCCAATAACTAATAAATTGCTTACAAATAAAAGAAAAAAATAAAACACAAATATAAAGAACATAAAAAAGGAGTATAAAAAAAATCTTAGAATTTATTCTACAGTATGTCGCTAATGTATGGAATAAATTCATTATTTCTAAAATAATCGACTTTTGAAAAAAATCCAAAAACAGGTCAATTGTAATTTTTGAATCGTCATCACATGATGTAGATGTAACGAACATTACGTCACCAGTATTACCGTGGTGACGTAATCGGCAATTTTTTTAAATGCAACCATGTGTCTCAAAACACCTCATTGGAAAGGTCTTCTAATCGTCTTTACAACGATGTAATTATTTGAATATTTATTTCTACAGGGTCGACCAAAACTGTTTATTTACTAAAATACATAAAACTGTTTAGTAAAAAACAATTAAATTATATTAAGTGTTCAAACTGATGACCTTCAGCAATAATGCAATGAGACAGCCGAGCAGTAAATTCGTCTCTAACGTTTACGAGAACTTCAGGCGTTATTTGTGCAATCTCCGTTCTGATGCGATCCTTCAACTCTTCTATATCATTTGGGCGACTTTGATAAACTTTGCTCTTCAAGTATCCCCATAAAAAAAAGTCTAAGGGTGTCAAATCTGGCGACCTTGGTGGCCATTCGATCGTTCCTCTTCTTCCTATCCACCTATCTGGAAAAACAGCATTTAAGTAGGTTCGTACATCAAAGGCGTAATGTGGGGGTGCCCTATCCTGTTGAAACCACAAATCACATCTATTTGGAAATAGTTGATTTAATTGTGGTAATAGATAATCCTGAAGAAATTGAAGATATCGAGGACCGGTCAAGTTTCCTTCAAAAAAATATGGCCCTATTATTTGATTATTTATAATGCCGGCCCAAACATTCACCTTTTCAGGATATTGTGTCGTATACTCCTGCATCCAATGGGGATTTTCACTTGCCCAGTATCGATATGTCTGGCGATTTACATGGCCGTTGAGCATAAAAGTTGCTTCATCCGAAAAAAGTATATTTTTTATGAAATTACGATCTTTGTTAGATCGTTCCATAATTGTTTCACAGAATTCAATTCTCCTATCAAAGTCATCTTCTAACAGCTCTTGGACCAAATGTACCTTATACGCATGCCACTTCTCCTTTTTCAGTACTCTAGCAACAGTAGAATGATGTAAATTATTATCCAGCGCAACTTGTCTCGTGCTGGTGTGGGGTCTTTCTTGAAACTCTAGTAAAACATTAACTTTTTTGTCTTCGGAAATTGACTTTCTACCACTTTTGGGGAGATCTTTAACATGGACCGTTTCTCGAAACTTTTTCTTGATTTTACTAATTGTTGATTGAGAAATTGGTTCACGATTGGGGTATTTAGCATTAAATAAATTGCCAACTTCTCTCTGTGTCCTTACTCTATCTCCATAGCCAATCATCATTAATATTTCGATTCGTTCAGTTTCTGTAAGCTTCATTACTAAATTATGCTAATTTAAAGATTTTAACTATTGAACACGACTGATACACATCAATTAGTGTTAAACTAGAATTTAGTACTATTATCAGTAACATATCCAAAATACAGAAATATTTTTTGGGTACACTACGATGTTTTATTTCCAGTGGCGGTCCTTACAATAACTTAGTTCAGTGAATCAGAATTTATGATTAAGATTTTAGTAAATAAACAGTTTTGGTCGACCCTGTACAAATAAATATTCAAATAATTACATCGTTGTAAAGACGATTAGAAGACCTTTCCAATGAGGTGTTTTGAGACACATGGTTGCATTTAAAAAAATTGCCGATTACGTCACCACGGTAATACTGGTGACGTAATGTTCGTTACATCTACATCATGTGATGACGATTCAAAAATTAAAATTGACCTGTTTTTGGATTTTTTTCAAAAGTCGATTATTTTAGAAATAATGAATTTATTCCATACATTAGCGACATACTGTATACTACGGTTTAAAACTAATAGACAGTGGGAAAATTTCAGGAATGTCTAGAAGAGTTGCCATAATGAAAGAAAAATTTCATACACTATAAAAATTATGCAAAAAAAAGTTTAAAATACATAATTGTTACTTAACACTACAACGTATATCATAATTAAAATTATTTTTTACGCCCATGTCAGTAAACGTTAAAAATCGCACTGTCAACATTCCTTGTAAATGACATTTAACAATAACATACACGTAATGAGATCTCATAACATACACGTGCGTTTTGATAAGAAAACTTAAATTTGTTAGTTTAATCAAATTGCAATCAAGTTTTTATTTACGTTCAACTTTATTTGGTCTATGTACATAAATTTAGTCAATTGAAAAAAATAAAAAAATTTAGAATTAGCGAGATACATTTTGGATTAAAAAAATGATACCCCTAAATGTCGGCAACACATTATACAATTTTTCAAAAAATATGTCACGTTTTCTTAGAATGCTATGGAAATAAACGTCTTATCATTTATATTGTCAATTTTTGTAACACAATATTGTTACGGAGCACCCTGCAGTAGCCTGCGGCTGTCATAGGAAAAGTATGAATAAAAAACGAAGTGGAATGCTACTCATCGCCCTACAGTGTGCTGAGGTCGTCATAAGTAAAAGTACAAGTTCAAGAAGGTTCGAGAAGGGTCAAGCAAGCTATATAAGGATGATTCTGATGTCAGTTTGCAGTTTTTATGATAGACGTTACATGTTAATATTATCAGTTGCATTGTTATTGTAAAGTTGAGTTAAAATAATGTGAGATACCAAAAACGCGCGTAACAATATTATTATATTCGAACATTTTCTCAACTTTACTTACGAATATATCTGTTAGTAGTGAAAGTGAAATTATGAGCATTCCACCGGAGATTTTATAAAAAGCTCAAGCTGCCACACATAATTTGTTACCGCTGAAATCCAAAAAAAGATACAAAAGTACCTATCGAAAATTTATGTATTGGCGACACAAGCATGTCCTTTATTTAAGAGAAGAAAATAAGTGGGCGTAGAAAAAGTATAGTACATTACACGAGTTGTAAGCCCATTACGCACTCGTGAAATTTATGCACTTGCCGCTCCGCGGCTTCGTGCGTAAACTTTTTCACTTAGTGCGTAATGGGTTACTTACAACTCTTGTTACGTAATATACTATTAATTATTTGTCTTGAAGGTAAATTGCAATATCTACTTAAATTTTTAGGTTGCTTATTTGAAGGTAAAACCATAAAATTATGTAGACCACTTTAAAACTTAATAAATTAAGACCACTTTAAAACTTAATAAATTATACGTAATTTGGTTCACAGCTATATAGGCCATCTACTAACTGTAAATCAGTTTGTTACACGTTGCCATGTGTTTGGAAATTTGTTTTCTCTCAATTTTTTACCATGCAATACCGGGTTCTCAAATTAAAGTGTTACAGTTAAATACCGCCGAAAATATGCATTTTACAAAAAAAGTTTCTAACAAAAGTTTTATAGTTTTTTGGGGGAAACATTTTGGATAAATTCATTTTTTTATAGCTGACCACAATATGGCCATATCGAGGTAAACTTTTTTTTAAATTGGAACTTAATTTTTTACATATTCTTAAAGTTTATAAAAAAATAAGTAACTTTTAAAGAAATTATTTTTTTATTGGACTTTTACTTATTGAGTAACACCTACTTGAAAATTTTGCGGCGCGAAAAAAAGTTGGTCATATTATGGTTAGCTATAAAAAACGATTTTAACCAAAATTTTTTCCCCAAAAAACTATAAAACTTTCGTCTAAAATGGTTTTTTTATAAAAGGCGGTATTTAACTGTAACACTTTAATTTGAACACCCGGTATAACGGCTACGTTTAAGAGTACGTTCCGTTATTGTCCGAATTATCGGTTACTGGGTTCAAAACTAAGCGCTCTGCTTGACATTTCTGAAAAATCGGTTAAATTAGGGACGCGGTTACCTGAAAATGGTGACTCAAACGTCAATTCACAAACCGCTATATTTTTGCGGTTACTATTAAGTCGAATGTCAATCTGTCACAAAAGTGACGTAAATCTCGACCGTGGTCCAAATGTAACCTTTGTCAAAATTCCTGGTTTCTTGCGGTTAGTAGTCGGTTAATAACGGACTATACCCTAAGTTACACTCTACATAGAAAATACAAAGTCGATAATATTTCATTTACAGTGGAAATAATCACTCGTGAGTTCAGTTCGTTAAGGCCACAGTAGCACACTCCAATATTCGTAACATTAACTAATTTTGATAGGTGTCATTTATGTGTCATATTTAATTAATAGTTCTTTTGTTCAACAGATGGAGAAATAATTCTAATAATTTTAAACGGTAACTATTATAATATAAAAAATTGATCACCCTGTGCCACTACGCGATTGGTAAACGAATTCTTGACCGTGAAAAATATTTCGGATGTAGCAGGTAAATAAAAGTTTTGGATTAAGATTCGGGACATCGGTATATTTACTTAGTAGTTTATTATTGTGTCCAGTCAACAAATGACAAGGATCTTGGTGTCATTATGTAGGGACCTATTATACTATACATGGTGTTCCATTAAGAATGGGACATAAAACAACTGACGATTCTCTGATTAAAAATAAGACAACTAAACGAAGCATGCTTAGATAAAATATTTCTCGTTTCCGAAATATGGTGTTAAAATTTTAAAATCCAAAAACTATTTTACTATTTACTATTTTACAAAATTTGGCAA